CGGACTTTAGCCTTTTTGGTGCGTTGCTCCCGGTGTCGTTATGCGTTCTCTTAGACTTCTCTTCATTCACTGTGTCAAAACAAAGTTCTTTCCCTTGAACACGCCGATGTTCCTTGACGTAAGTTCCCTTGGTCCGAGGTGTCCTCTGAGACTCTCCTCTTATTGATTCTATTCGCCCGGTCTCCCGTGAAGGCTGATATGAGCGTTCTTCCACCTTGTCATGCTGAAGGACTGCTGGGATTGCTATTTGCCCCCCTTTCTGGGAGTTGTTCTTGGCTATTGGAATTGGCGTGTCCTTCAATGGAAACGGTAATTGCATGATGTTGTTCTGTATCATGAAATTGACAACCAATTGTAGGTCTGCCAATTTATTTGCCATTCCCTTCATCTCGTCGTCCCTTCTCAGGCATCTATCTTTTCATACCTGGAGGTCGCTTTCGATGCAATACCCGCCTTGACCTGCTTTCTTTGGTGCATCTCCCTCTTGACCACTGTCCCTTTCCCCAGGATTTTGATCTCGAGGTCCTTCGTTACAGTTCTCCTCCTCTACATTAGGATCAATGTTTTTGCCACTACCACTAGGGATGTCGTCCTCGACCTTTTCTTTCTACCCATCGTTGGCCATCTATTCTCTTTACGTTCTCATAGACGGCGCCAAATTATGTGTGTTGATTTTTTACCAGACAACCAAACGGGAAAACTCAGCAGGAGAACACCGACAGAATAGATTAAGCCCAAACAACCTATTACAGAAAGATAAGAATCCGACAGTGGTTCGTCCACCTAGGGGCACTCTAACGATCAAGTCTGTAATTATCTCTCAAAGATAGTCAATAGTGCTTAACTCACTAGACAGAACCTAAAAAGCATACCTTAGACCCATGAGAGTGCCTTACTTTTATAGCCAGCATTAACTTGATCCCTGTAGAAGCCTAGCTTCAATGGACTTTGGTTCAATGCCCATCTTTGACTTTCAGCTAGATAGCGATAAACTCCCTGAGAGCTTTATTTTTATCCAGACTGAGGTCCTCCCCCATTCTAGGACTCTTGTCCTTTATCCGTTCATCTCCGATTCCGATATCTCTAAAGATAACCTCGGCCTAGCCGAGATCATCTCAGCGCATAACCAAGCCACGTGGCACTCTGGCTGACATGTCGGCGTCACCTTGGCCACGTGTTGTCATTATCAAAATACGTCCCCACATATAATAAGATTGTTATAGATATACCACATAATCGTTCGAAATGACAAATCTTTTTACCTTATGAGATCTTCTTAATATTATTTCTTGTGATTCTTCTACAACTTTTCATTGGTGATAATTACGTTATGGAGTAATTTATTATTCATTTGTTGTTTCAAGACATTAAGTTGTTTACCTATAGGAACAACAATTTCCTTCAAATTATGATAATGATATTCGTATCTAAACTTATTGAATAATTACATTTCATGATTTATCACTCCCACTAATTTCACCATTCTTATTAAATTTGATATTATCTGTTTCTGGAATTCTTGTACTATGATCAAGATTAGTAAAACTAATACCCTTTGAATTCTCAAGATAATCAACAAAATAACCACGAATTATTCTAAAATATAATTTCTTTTCATGTAGATCAATAATTCTAATTTTTTAGACAACCTCAAACATGCAGGTGCCTTAAGTTCGGTTTCCTTCTTGTTCACAGTTCAAAGTTTGTGTTTGGAATTGCATTACGAGGAACCAGATTCTATATGAAACAATAAATCATAATGACATACATCCACAATATTATGGGTATTTAGAAATTATTTAACATACTCTTAGTCATATTCATTAGAGTACAATAATGTTTCTCAACTACATCATTCTGCTGAGGCATTATGCCTTTCATAGAGTTTAGAAAATAGACTTGTGCTTTGCACTATCTTTATGTTTTTTCACATTTTTGTGTAATTGCCTTTCTTTTTTAATAATGTACACCTCAATGATGTCAATTTACTAGAGATCTTTTATGTAATAAATAAACAAAATCATGAAGTGAAAATTCATCTATAAAAATGATAAAATAATTTTATTTACCAAACATAAAGTGTCGACAAGATACATTAATGTTTATTTGGGTAATATGAAGAAGCCATATATATCTTGTGGCACTTTACATAATGTGATTGAATTACTTTTCCTTAATACAACTCATACTTCCCCTAAAAGTAATAAAATTTAAGTTCAAAACAATCTCGTCTTTATTAGTTTTTATAACTTTTTTTTTAAAAAAAAAACAGTATAATCTTTTATGCCACAAGTTTGAGGAGTTTTTATTTATCCGGCTATATTTAGGACCAACATAATGATGCAAGATAAATTAAATTTTTGATAAATCATTAAATTTTAATTTATACAAACCATCATAAATAATACCAAAATTAACAGAAAAGGTATTATCAATAAATTAAACTTTTATTCCAAATTTTTTGAAAATAACCATCAAGGTTAATTAAGTTTGGACAAATCAATAAATAATTTTCAAAATTAGAATCAATATAATTTTTTTAAATAAATTCTAAATAATGATCAATGTCTGAAAATAAGCAATAAGTCCCAATAATTTAAATTGAAATTTTAACATATGTTTGAAAATAATCTTGCACCGAAAACAAACTCATTCACAAATATTATTAAATTCTTTAATTGAGCAATCAAGTTAGATAATTCAATGACATGCTCATACATCTCATGCATACCATCAAACTTTATGTCAGTAAGCTTAACCATAAGTGTTCTAGCAAAAAAACCTTATTAACAATTTGGAAACATTCTTTCACACTATTTAGCATTATCAATTTAAAAAAGTTAAAAAATAATGTTTGCTATACTCATTCGCATAAAAACATAAACTTTATTTGTTCGATCTTTTTATACTTAGAAAAAGTCTTTTCCTTCTTTTATACTACTTGAATAATAGCAGTAAATTTCTCAAATAGTAACACTAAGTCAAAATTTAGAACATCGAGATAAAACTGAACTTGTTCTATTCATTTTGAGAAATTTTTTTTCATTTAAAATCGGAACAAACAAGGTATAAAAATATAGTGAAATAAAACTTTAATCAATAATTCATGCTCACTACATTAATTCTAAGAGTAATCAATAATTGACAATTAGTCAAGATAAACACATGTTTAAACAATCACAAATAGTATCACCGTGATCTACATTTGGGATAATCTAATGGCATACTATTTAACAATTATGGTGATTTTCTTTCACCAAAAGGACTAGTTGATAAAATACTCATAATTAAGTAGGTTTGTTACCTTTGGGTATTCATTCCAATATCAACTATGAATACCCATCAACTATCCTTTTTCAATTCAATAATTATTTAGAAGTGGTACACCTTTGGGCCAACTTAATGTCTTTGTAATTAAAGAATTGCGATTTGCAAAGTCATTATTTTTTAATACTTGGGAAGGGTATTAAATTTCAATTATTTGATCTGATATCTATGTGTCATTCCGATTGGGTCACTTTGGTAACTACCAATCATATCATAATTTAGATTTCAAATCAAAATAAAACTTTGTGTAAACATTTTTGAATAAATAATAATTTATTCACAATTATTCATCGTCATAATCATAATGCATATTACTGAATCATAAGAATAACATTAAAACAATAAATATTAACACAATTCACACTACAACAAAAAACATTTTTGGCGACGTTTTTTAGCAACCAAACTGAAATTAGTCGCCAATTTTACATAATCAGCGACAATATAATTGTTTGTCGCCAAAAGTACACTATTGGCGACAAGTTAATATTTTTAGTCGCCAAAAGGTTTGGCGCCAACTTAATTTTTTGGGCGGGAGCGCCAAAAATATTTTCGCGACCCAATGAACATATAGCGACGAAATTTTGGTCGCCAATTGTAAGGTTTTGGCGACGGAAATGAAATAGTCGCGGAAAAGATGAATGGTACTTATGGCGACAGTAGAATTTTTGTCGCCAATAAATTAGCAAACGAAACTACGTCGTTTTGCATTTTTCAATTTTTTTTTTTTTAAAGGCTGGACCGACCCTTTTACTGAATAAACACACCCAAGCCTCATCTCATTGTATTCAGAGGAAAACGAGAAGAGAGGGAGAAGATAGAGGATTCAAAAGGGAATGGAAGGGAAGGGTAGGGTTTCAATCTCTCTCTCTCTGCACACTTCGACGGTACGGCGAAACTGATTCAGCAACGGTGACAATCAACGGTACGCACTCATCTACTCTCTTCTCTTCTCATTCAACATCCAATTAGTAGACTTCAAGAGTCCAAATAGCATACCCAAACGATTGTCAAGCTTGAGCTAGGTAGCGAATGGCGAGAACGGCAGAGGCGTTTGGTGTAGATGAGGCAGGGAGGGGCGTGGCCATGGGTTTGTTAGGCGTGGTCGTAGGGTAAGGGTCGTCGAAGGGGGGGGGGACTCTCTCTTTCTCTCTCCCCCCTTCTTCAGCTTCTTATTTTTTCTATTGACAAATTGTGCTTGTCTCTCTGTCCCCTATAAATTGCAATTTCTATGCCCTAATTGATTTTTTTTCTTGCCAAGTGCCTTTTTAGAATTTTTTTTAGGGGTGTTGTTGTGATGTCTGGTTTCTCTCATTAGAGTTCAAATCCCATTTTTCTTATCTGTCAAATGTTCGATAAAATGCATCAATGATGGCCTACTGTGATTTTGTTTATTAGATCCATGTTTTTTGACTTTTGGATCTTTGAGAATATAATTTAGGAGGATTTTGGACTCAAATACAATTTAGGAGAATATAATTTAGTTTTCTTGGTGGGTTTGTTTTTTGTGTTTATCTACAAATTGAAGTTGTGGAAGTATGTATATATAGTAAATTTAGGATCTTTGATTAATCATTTTTTAGTATTTGTCACTCCATGTATTTCAGTTATTGTGTTTTCAGTGCGAGTCTGTAATTGTACATGAATTATTTGAAATACTACAATTATTTGATTTTCAAGAACACTCAGTCGCTGCTTTCACCCGTGTTCTTGATGAGGCCAGTGTTGTTCTTCTCTTCAGAGACAAAGTCTATCTTCATCCTGATAAGGTACGTACACATATATATAAATAATAGTTTTCTTGTTAGAAGAAGATTCTTATAAATTGATTTATGTGGGACTAGTGATTTGTGCTTGTGTTAGAATATAACTAACAATTTTGTTGATGAAATTTGTGTGTGTTTATTAGTCACAAAAGTTTTGTGTATCTCATTATGGCTAATATGTATATTTTGCGTTGCCAAAAATCACATGTTATTTTTGTTTTATTATTTTCTTGTTGGTCTTTGGTTGTGTACACTACATGGGGAATGAGTTTACTCTGTATTGCGGAGATGAAGGTTTAAGTTTTATGTTTCCCTCTGTATGGTTAATGTCTAATTTTAGAGTTAAAAAGAGTCCAAAATACATTCGTTAGTTGCACTATGAGAACTAAGCAACTGTTTCTCTACACAGAACAGTTCCAAAACCTCTGATTTTGCAGCAAGGGATTGAGGATAAAATATATGGACATAATCACCATCAAAATCAGCACTAAGTGGCCGACATATAAGAGGGTTGATCTTAACTGTATGGTCATCGTGAACATAAACCGACAAAGCTTGCAGGGAATGTTTATGCGTTGTCGGAGGTCTATTGATGAAAACAATATCCCCATCCATTATCCGTCGATGTACCACTTGACCAGGTCTTAAGAAAGTATGCCCCTTCGAACCTTCCCTCAGCGAGTAGGTTGACAAACCATCCCTATAGGTTAAACACACTTTTCATCAACCAGCTTCTGCAGATACTGCATGTTATATTGAGTAACTCTCTCCTCAAATGTTATCCGTTGAGCAATTTCAAAAGGCAGTCCAATCTCATTGACTCCTTTATATGCATCACCTGTAATAACACTCCGTGAGGAGAATCCACAACCCTTTCTGATAAATAGGGTTTTCATCTTCTCAAGCCATGCTTTAGTAGTAGAATCGCTTTGGTCTTTGTTAATCCCAAATCGTGTATCCATGTCACGAGATGCCTTGTAGAAGAAATATGCACGGAAAGACAAGAAAACAACAGTTGTTCATGAACATTTGCACAATTTAATTGCCAAAGGTTTGACTAGATTATCAATCAGATTCTCAATAAGAACAAATGTCACCCAAGTAAATAGTAAACCAGCATCAACTACACAAAACACCATCTTCTAAAACGGATCATCATTCTCAGATAATTCAAATAAGCAATGCAATGGACATGATTGATGAGATCTATTAAAATAAGCAATGCAATGTACATAAAATGGATCATCATTCTCAAATAATTCTGTATAATTTTTAATTAGTTTTTCTCTCAAATCCTCAAAGCAATAAAGTGCCCCCACTAAGGGTCAGCCAAACTTCCCTTGAATTAGCAACAGACATGATTGATGAGATCTATTAAGTTAATAGAGTGGTGTCACATGAAATGGTAAACAAAACATGGTACATAGATGTAATCATCATAGCATTATGGCACTAAAAGTAATTTGTATATTCAACATGGGACAACTTCAAATAGTGCTTGTGTTGTAAAAGCTCACGTAGTGTACACAAATACTTGTTTCAATTTTACCCCAATATATTGATTACCTAGGAAGCTTCTGAACTTGATCTTTGATCAGTAAGTTCTATAAATTCTTGAGCCATTCTAAATTTTGTTAGTTTGGAGTCAATAAATTAGAAGTCGAAACTATGTCGTTTTGCATTTTTTTTTTCTTCTAAGACTTGACTGACCCTTTTGGTGAATAAACAAATAATTATCAATATTAAGAGATGAGGGTCCAAAAGAAAAAAGGTCTGAGGCAAATAGCAGCACTCTAAATTGTTTCCTTGGTGCCTAATATTTGTCTATTTCCATCTAATTCGTAGGTATATACAAGTGGGGAATGCAGTTGCATTTCTAGTATCTATGGCATTCGGAAGTATGTTGGCAAAGGGAAGCTAAGGAGTCTCAAATAATGAACCCTTGACAACAATTGATCTGAAATTCCCTCTGAGTCCTGCACAATAGCATTGGATTAATTAACCATTCTTAAAGTGAGTTCAATCTTGGCAAAATTCATTCTTAACAATCTTGTTGAAGAAAATTTTAAACTCACATTGAGTAGTAGACCATTCATAAAAACCATATATGGTCATTTTAGCTTGTAATTCAAATTTCCATTTTCTTCTTGTATTATCTTGAAAAATATCTGGTTAAGTACATTGAAAGATATGTAACCTTATTTTTAGTTTTTTCTTTTTGGGCCTAGACCCATTTCTGTTTGCTGAGTGCTGGTGGACCAGGCACTGGAAGTGATATTGGGCTGATTGTGAGGTTTTGCTGTCAGCCCTTTCTCGGTCCGTATTTCCTCACACGACCCATTATGCTGTGGGCCATTTTTAGGTGGATTTCAGTTTGTAGTTAATGCAACAGTATGAGCAGTTTAGTTAAACTTCATAAACTCATTACAAAGTAGTGGCATTCCCAAACTCCCTGTAGTTGCAATGATCTTTGAAGCACTTACAGCCATACAAGATTCAAATGGAGCTGATATTAGTGCCATTCTCAACTTTATTGACGTCAGATAGAAGTCTTTTGTTATCTTTATTCCCTTGGATAAAATTTACCTGGTTTAATCTTGAAGGACTTGTAGTAGCTGTTAGGTTATGACAAAACAATTTATGGAAAATAATTGTAGACAGCTCTTTATATTGCATAATGTTTAGATACTCAAATCCATGCATCTTGATGTGTAGTCTATTGGACTATTGTGCTTGGTTGATTCCAAACAGCCTAGAATTTCAACATTGTGAGAGTCCATAATTTTGTACATGAATAATTTGATATGCATCTCTGTACTTTTTTATTTTAATTTTTAATAGTAAACTAAAATTGTCAAAAGGAGGAGGAGGGACAATGATTGCAAGGCAAAGACAGCCAAAGTTTATGTTTTGAAGTTTCTGTTTTGATGGCATTACCTATTGCTGCTGGCTTGGAGCACAAACATTTCTATTTCCCTTTGCACCCATAAACATACCTCAAATACTTATTGATGACTCAATAGTTTTTTGTTTTTTTTTTGTTTTGTTTCCCTGATATGTTGGAAGAAAATGGGTTGTAATGCCTATTGATAACTTGATCGTTTTTGTGGTTAGATACACATCTCATTCTCTATAGATCATTAGCATGCTAGTACTACTCCCTTTATTCTTTTTCTTTCTTTCCTCTTGTTAGAGAAGAGCCAAGTGCTCGTTAAAACTATCTCATTCTTTGTGGAATGTAATATTTAACTGATAAAGTTTTTTTTTTTTAAAAAAAAAAAATCTCAGTTGGGTAATGAAACGGAGAGTGTTAGCTTTGATCTTCGACCTTCAGATGCATTAACATTGCAGTAATATACAAGGTATTTTTGTTCATTTTGAAGATTGTAACTGCTTTGGTGGATTTTTGTAGTTGTTTATCATCATGTAGTCCTCTTATCTAACATAGTTATAATCATTGCTCTCTCACTAGATAGCATTATATAATGGTGTTGGATAAACATAATGTTATTTGCATGCAAAACTGATAGCTAAGTAATACTGTGAGATGCAACAAAGTGTACAATGAAATAGAAAAGAAAAGAACTTCAGGGAAGGGTATGTGTATTGGGGGTGATGATGACTCAAAAATGAGTGACGAAACAAAAGAAGAAATGGAAAAGAAAATTGGGAAATAAGGAAGGAAAAGAGATGATAGTGTCCCCAACCACGAAAATTGTTCTGTTGTTTTGTTTTGCTCTATTAGTTAGAGGGTTGAGTTGGAATTAGTCTGCTGATCTGTTTAGTTTAGTCTTAAGGCCGCTGATCTGTTTGGTTTAGTCTCTAGGCTGCTGATCTGTTTGGTGGCTGAAAAGTTATGTTTTGTTGATCTGTTTGGTTTAGTCTCAAGGCTTATGGTCCTGTCTGTTGGAGGATTTTTGTGGCCTTATTAGTCTCAAGGCTTAATGTTGTTTGGTCTCTCTTAGATAGTTGGCTGATTATTGAATGTTGCTGATGTTTAGTCTAACTAACCCCATAAAAAAAAAGAACTATATATCAACGAAAACAAAAAATGGGCAGCAACATGTCCAGGCTAAAAGAAAACCTGTGGAGAAACCAAAAAAACCAAGATATAAAAAGAACATCAACAAACCTATAAGCAAGCCTCCAAGATAACACCCTAACAATACCTCCTCGTGAAACACTGGACTGCAAAATGCCATTCATGATGTATATCACATTGCTTCTCAGTTGTATCAATTAATAGGAGCACTAATAATAACATGAGTGGAGTGGTCTCGTCTTACTTTGAATAATAATTTTTATGCTACAATGGTTGGTCTCAGTTTTGGAATGGGAGTGTTGCTCGATGATGAATATGAGAAATGGTTTAGAACTCTATGATACTATTGAATAATTTGTGGATGGCTTGAATTTATTGAAAAAGCTTTGTAGCCATTTCGTAAAAGGTGCTATGTTTCAAGAGTTGGTGCAGCCAAGAACTATCTATGCATTTCCTTTCTTGCCTTTACTATGGCTGAACATTCTCATATTTATGAAGACTTTTCGGATTTATGGCCACAAAATACAGCTGAGATGTCTCTTCTTCCAAATTCTTCCAGTGAACTTTCACATTTTTTCACTCAGTCTAGGACTGCTGATTTGGTAGATCTAATTTTATGCAAAGGTTGAAGAATGAACCTATATGCATAATTGATATCATAGTATTATCTATACAGAGATTTTACAAATAGGGTTGAGCAACGCCTTGTATGAGAGTAGACTAGGCTATTTTTATATTGTTAACTCTTTTTTCATCATGAAATCTAAGTGATATGCACCTTATTGAACCAAACAACAAATTTGGTTTTCCAAATAAAAAGCAATTGGATTCGCAACACGTGAAATTCTAACACTACACACTTCAAATGTTCCAAACTGAAACCATGAGAAATATAACAGAGTCCTGTCTTGGGGAGGCCATCTTTTGGTGTCTAGACTTCAAGGTTGATTAGCTAGCATAAAGCCAACACAAGGGTGGATCCTCCAAGCATTCTTCCTCGGTTTCTTTCATAGTACAATCCTTGCACACGAATCATCGTGTAACTGATGAATTTCATTGGTCGAAAATCAATCACTGATTCAAAAAGAGAATTTATTTTTCCTACTAGAAGCACCTAGTATCCATCTGTTGAACAGTGCTTGGGTGCTCTGCTGCTGACAGCTTCCCTCCTTGAGACTTTACATCAGAAGTCATGCAAGTACGTATTTTTCGACAATATTCAAAGCCTACAACTATAAATGCTATATCAAAGAATAACCACATATGGTTCATGTATCTGCTGTTTCTGTTGCAATGGCTTTTACAGAGGAACATATTATTTGTTAAGCTGTGTGGATTATACAATTATTCTCTCAGTCAGCTATGTAATTATGCCCACCAGGCACATGTTTTAGCTAATGATTCATTGTTTCTTGTTGGGTATTTAACTGATTTTTTCTTGCAATATTGTTTAATCAATGAACTTTATCAGATTCAAGAATAATTTCTCAGAGACTTGGCTATTCCGAAATGGAATACAGGGGTGAGTTTGTGTGTCTCAGGGGGAGAGTACACAAGTATATTATTACCTTTCAATATGGATATACTTTTGGGAAGTGACTTGGGGTCCATACACAACAATATACATAATTTTTTATAAGCAAATATAAGCAATGCATTATATTTGTATATATTACTTGATCTTATCTGATATCAATGCCTCAAAGCACTGACATTGGATTCTTTGCCTCCCATTGGATTCTTTTCCGAATATTTTGAGCTCGAGCATCTAATATCTTTTTGTACCGATAACGAAGAACTTAGGCATCAATTGTCAACCATTGAAACCAACTGATATAATTCAGCTTTTGCAAGTTCCACTCCAACTGAAGAAGAATCATTTCAGTACTTGGAATGGCTTTATCCAGAAACACCACTATTACTAATATTGGTATTCCTTTTCTTTTCCTTTGTGCTTTCCTTGCCCAAGTTGGCCTCTGTTATTCTGCTAAGGTATGGATATAGATATGATATTTTCAATCAACTTCTTTGTTTTCGTTTTTTTGTTTTCGAATTTATGTTACTGGGTCAAGCTTTGTCTTGTGCGCAGGTCTATGTGGTCTATATGGGAAGCAGAGATGGTCATGACCCAGATGAGATTTTGATGCAGAACCACCAATTCCTCACTGATTTTCATGGTGGAAGGTCCACCCAATGTTCCTTTTTTCTCTTTCTTTTCTTTTTTTTCAACTGTACACCACCATGTTTTCACACTCCCCCTCTTTTTTTTTTTTTTTTTTTTTTTGTGGTTTGATGTTATTGTTGTGTTCCTCTTCTTGTTCTTATTGAGGATTGTTTGGTTGTGCTAATTGAATCATTCAATTGGTGACACAATGTTGAACAATCCAGGGCATCTCATGTCTACAGTTACAGGCATGGTTTCAGAGGCTTTGCAGCCAAGTTGACAGAGGACCAAGCTTCTAAAATTGCCAGTATGTCAATACAAAAGTAGTATTTACTATTATCTTTACCATTTCTCATCATAATTGATTGATTTATATCCATGGCTCTGAAAAATCAATGTCATGGTTTTAAAAATTGAAACACAGAAGAAGTGGTTGGATCATACTATGAGTCTCCCTAGTTGTGATTGGATCTCCGGTTAGAAAATTAGAAGGAAAATTGTAAAACACAAGACTTAAAAGGCCCGTTCGGGAGCCGAAATTGCTTAATGACCACCGGAACCACCAAAACTTGGCATGGACAGATTTTTCAAGCCTAAATAGACTTGTAGGAACAAACAGGACCTCGATTGGATTTCCGGTTAAAAAATTAGAAGGAAAAATGTAAAACACAAGACTTAAAAGGCCCGTTTGGGGCCTGAAATTTCGAAATGACTACCGAAACCACCGAAACTTGGCACGGACAGCTTGTTCAAGCCTAAGTAGACTTGTAGGAACAAACGGGACCTCAATTGGATTTCCGGTTAGAAAAGTAGAAGAAAAAATGTAAAACACAAGACTTAAAAGGCCCGTTCGATGGCCAAAATTGCAAAATGACCACTGAAACTACCGAAGCTTGGCACGGGTAGCTTGTTCAAGCCTAAATAGAGTTGTATGAGCAAATGACACCCGATTGGACTTCCCGTTACAAAATTAAAATCAAAATTGTGAAGTTCATATCGAGGTTTTTTTTTTTTTTTTTTTTCTAATATTGTTTTTTCTTTTTTCATGTGACAGATTGGTCTGATAAATTCATATCGATTTTTTTCTTTTTTTTTTTTTTGTCAATCTAATATTGTTTTTTTTTTTTTCATGTGACAGATTGGCAATGGTGGAAAATAGTTTGGGCTGCATCAGAAGATTTGATTTTGTGTTTTTGGAAATATTTTGACATAGGATTTTGGTAAATGATTTATGGATTAAATTTTTAGCATCAAAATATTTGGTATTGTGTTTTTGCAAATATTTTGACATAGGATTTTAGTAAATGATTTGTTGGTTAGATGTTTAACATCAAAATATTTGGTTGTAATTTTGAAATATTTTGATAGAGGATTTGGTAATGTATTTATGGGTTTGATGTTAGTAGTTTGTAAGTACTTTGGTATGTATGTTTTAGATTGTCAGAGAATTGTAATTATGTTTATTTGGATTTTTCAAAACTATTAATTTTGAATTAGTATGAATGTCTTGCACAGGTGTATTATTATTTACATTACATTTGTGTATATATTGTGCATAGGAAAACAGGTGTTTTGGATTATTTTGAACAGGAAAATTATTAAAATCAAAATTTGTGTATTGAATTTTTAGTGACAGGTGGTATTTTGGTCGCTGTTAATATATTTGGCGACAACATATTATTTTTGTTGCTAAAAGTTAGTGGTTATTCCAAGAACTTTTAGCAACCAAAGCTTACTCGTCGCTAAAAATGTGATTTTTAGCGACCAAATTAATTTTGTCGTTAAATAGTACTTTTGGCGACGCATTTATTTGTCGCTAAAACTACATAGCCTATCCAAATTTTAACCTTTTAGCAACAAATTGTAATTTTATAGCAACAAAATATATGATTTTTGGCGACCAATTTTGCTTGTCGCTAAATGTCTACATACGGTGACAATTTCTGATTTCGTCGCCAATACTTTTAGTGACAGGCCTTTGGCGACAAGTTGTATATTTGTCGCCGATTCTTTTGGCGACAGAATTTGTACTTTTGGCGACAAATTTTTAGGTTGCCAAATGTGTTTTTTGTTGTAGTGTCATATTCTATGTCACATAAGATTATATATTTTTGTACCTCATCAAACCACCTATAAAAATCAAGCTTATACATAATGGTGGTAGTTACATCATACTGAAATAATTTTTTAAAGGTTACAGTTAGATCCATAAATAGCAATATGCTTGGTACTATAAAGATCACAATAAAATTTTAATATGTTTTCTCATACTAAAATTTAATAACACTTTAACGTGCCTCACAGCAAAATTTGATAATATAAAACTCGATAAAACGTGAATAATTATCACCATCATGATTAGTAAAATTACAAGTTAACAATTCTTTGCTACCATGCCATATCCTAAAATTTATATGCATATATAACAAATAAATTTTATACATAAAACAAGAGTGCATCTGTTGAGACTTTGAAAAGGCGCATGCTCAACATATTAATATAAAATTTAATTTTGATCATCTCACACTACTACCGGTCTATCACTTAGATGATGATCAATCATGACAAAGGAATTTATAATACAATTTTAGTAACAAAAATTCCAGCAATAATTTATATATGCAAGACACATGCAAGCAATACCCAATTCAACATACTATCGAGTTTTGAATCAAATTTTGCAATTAACAAAATTTAACTAAATTTATTTAATAAAAAAATGATAATTCATGAACACAAGCTCTGATACCACATGTAAATAATTTTATGGTGTTATGCATATAACAACCTTCATAATCTAAAATCGTAAACTATCATGATTTTTACAAATAATAACATAACGCGAAAAGTAAATAACATACTTGGATTAGTTATGCGAAATGTTCGAGTGATCCATAATTGATTGAACGTAAACCTAATATCAATATTAATGGAAAAATGTTTCTCTCTCTTGACCATGTTTAGAATACATTGAATTTAGAATTGATTTGACGGATAGTCTGAATATCCTTTTATTGGTAGAGAGGGGACTAGTTTCCTTGTTCAACAATGATTCCACTTTCCCATCAAAGTATGATACTTAGAAAGAAAAATGTTTGGGAGCTCTAAATTAGGAGCACTAAAGGAGCTCTAGAGAGTGGATCCCACTGACTGATGTGATGTTTTGGCCTTAAGTTTTTTTTTTCTTTTTTTTGTTTGAATTTCCACCTTATTAGTGGTTCATTAGTGCTCCCAAATTAGTGGGTTGTATCATTGTTGTACTTAGAAAATACTCTTCTTTATTTACCAATTAGTGTAGCAAAAAATATGAAATCATAATCCTGCCAAATCTCTAATTCATATTACCATATCACGTGGGTCAACATGATGACTAAATAATTAATTTAGTCCTCCACTATAATCATCAATGCAACTCATATAGGACACATTGCCATGGCCACCCTTTTCTCAACCGTCTCTTCACCTTTGGCACCATATCATGTACAACTCCATTAACAGAAAGGTTGGCTCATGTATAACATCAACTCAAAGATGCCAGAAAAGCACACTTAACGCGGTTCATCAGGGGTTGTTCAAAGGCTCCTTCCTATCTCGCCAACCACCCTGCTTCAACATCAATTTTTATTAGGAACTTGTTTCTCTTAACTAGAATCATCAATTTGATTACTGATTTGCTACCGTATTACACCCTCTCCAGCAAGCTGTCATCTTCATCTTTCCCCATTTCCTCTCTGCCATTACCACATACCTCTTCATTTTAATCCCATCAGGAGTTCCATGGAGACGAATAATGGACATTGACACAATGCAAACATATTTTTACAGAAAATTAAGAGAAATTGGAAACTATTCTTTGGACGAGATAATGATTAGATTAACCAATGTATATTTCTTTGAACAATTACATTATTGTAGGCCCTCTAATAATAAAAAAAATTATGGTGGAAAATGCTCAATTAGATATTAAAGTGCATACCCGTATAGTAATCTGGTCTCATGATCACCAAGAAGATCGCGTAGTTATTTCTGGACTCAGAAGTGTTGCTTCATTTAAATTATCCTGTTTATAACGCTTATGAGTGTTAAAAAATAGAAAATTAATGGTTATAGGAACTAGTACAGTTTGTAGTTACCGAAAATGAAGAGATTCACTGCGGGAAACTTGGATGCCCCAAAGTGAATTAACAAATATTGCAGCCCTTTGAGTTTCACTATTAGGTTATGTTTGTTTGGGTGGATATGAGCTTGGGATTGGACTAATAGTCCAATAAAATTATTAATCCGATGTTTGGTTAAACAATTGAAGTACGGATTAATTATTTTAAACTTGACTTTTAGTTAAGATAGGATACATAATCCAACGGATTTGTAATCCCAAGATTATTAGTCATGGGAATGCTAATCCAATCCGCCCAAACAAACATGGCCTTAGTGTTATTGTATCTGATTCATGAAACTCAGTGAAAAAAAGGTGAGAAGAGGGAAGCTAGAGGAAGAGAAGGGCATTGTCATATGCTTAATTAACAGAAGGCATATGTTGTTATTTAGGTAAAATCAGAGGCTTTTCCATAATTATTCTTGGAATTTGGCTCACTTTCTCTTGACACATTAATTGTGCTTTTTACATCTTCCTACACTTTATTAGATTGAAAAAAAAGAAAAAAAGAAAGTGTTTGCTTTATTGTGTTATAAGTTTATACATACATATTTCCCCTTTCTTCGTATTAGATGCTAGGCGGATCCCCTCATTTGGGCCTCAATTTAGTGATTTTTGCCAATTTTGAAAAGATTTGAGTCTTCAATTACTTTGAGGAAAAATTTCATTTTGACCCTGCAAACTTATACTTTTGCTTCTTTACCCCTGAACTATAAATTTGAACAATTATGCACTATTGACGTTAGTTCATTTTACCCCAATCCGTTAATGATGTTAATAATTTTTATGAAATATCACACCGGCACACAAATGATAAATTGAGGGTATTGATTCACTTTAACCCATAGTAAGTAGCGAAATATCAAGATATCATGCAACAAAACACAACCTTTTGTTTTGAAAACATTCAATAAAACACAAAATACAACCAATTGTAGCAAACTGTTGTCTTTGGATACAATCAAATTAAGCAAATCACATGCACAAATATTTTTGGTGCTGCCAGCCAGGGGTGATATTCCTTTAAAAATATTAAATCCGCTGACGGTTTAGGGTAAAGTGAATTAATGTCAATAGTTTTAAGGGGGTAAAGTGTACTAATTGTTCAAATTGATAGTTTATGCGGTAAAGTGACAAGTTTGATAGTTTGAAAAGGGAGGTGAATTTTTTCTTACTTTTGATGAAAAAGTTAGAATCCAATTTTGTTGATTCTGTCTTAATCCTAGGAGTCTAAATTAGTTGTTTCCATGTTCATGTTGAATATTTTCACTCTTTTTATTTTTTGTTTTATTTTTTTTGTCATTTTTTTATTTTTCTTAATTAGTATCATGTCTGACAATGAATTGCCGAATTGCCGGAGATTGTTTCCTAGTTGGACTAGATTTGTTATTCATTATAAATCGCATTGTAAGCCTAATTGTTAATCAGTTTTGAAAATTGATTTTTAGAGTTGTTTACTATTCTCTCCAACTTTGGATATTCTGTGTGAATTAATAATTGTTGGTATCTTTTTTTCCAGTATTCTTCTTGAATCAATGGGTCTAGACAAGGGATTTTGTTTTTGGTATTCATTCTTGGATCAATGATTTTAAAATCATTATCCCAATCCCTTTCATTATACACTTCAGTTAATTGAAAATCTCTGCAACAGTGTTCAGATTCTTTTGATGGCATGTCTTATGTACTGTGTGCTTTTACTTTGTTTTAGTTGTATCTTCTACTTTTAGGGTTTTCATCAAGTTTGAAACGCCTGATTCAAGTTCTTACAAGGAAGTACCTCTCTCACAACACACTTCACTATTTT